TTGGGCCACGAGGGGGGGCGACTGCCACAGACAGGTCTGTTGGTCAGTCAGAGAGTAAAGTTCTCACAATGTTATTGATCAGTTGATTATATATTGATTAACTCTGTGTGTGTGTGTGTGTGTGTGTCTGTGTGTGCGCAGGCCGAGCTCACTGACTGTATCTCCATGTTAGTCGGGAACAACGAGAGGATTCAGGCCATCATCAGTCAGCTGGAGGAGACCTGCCGAGCCGTGGATGTGAGTCTATCAATCATTGGCTGTAATCAATATCTTTATGTTTCCAATCAGACAGTCTGCTGGATCAATAACGTCTCTGATCACAAACGTTCCACATTCAGATCCTTAAGAGTCAGAGAGTAAATAATTACATATTCCACAATCTGTGAATATAGAACGCTAACATTAGCTGAAGATATTACAGCTGGGAATAAGTCTCTGCTAACATGTTAGCATCAATGAGTTGCACATACTAAAAACAAGTGCAAGTACAAAGGGCCGACAATAGCACCCTGAGGAACTCCAAAGGGCCGACAATAGCACCCTGAGGAACTCCATCAGTGAGCTAGCATAAGGAGCCATGTTTTAACTGTTAGCTAACAAACATTTAACATATTTTGTCGTAGTTTTTTATTAGACTTTTCGTCTTTAGTGTGTCTGTGTGAACGCTGACGGACGCTCGTGTTCTGAATATCGTACATGGCGAGCCGTCAGTACAGATGTGTGTGCTGCCACCTGCTGGTGTACCTGAGCTTTACGCTCTGTGTGCTCAGGAGAACGGACGCAGACAGAAGTCGAAGGTGTGCGAGACGTTCGACCATCTGTTCGCTCTGCTGGAGGAGAGGAAAGGTGAGCTGACTCTGAGGATCAACTCCGAGCAGGAGGAGAAACTCGACTACATCCGAGGTCTGAGGAGGAAGCACACCGAGCACCTGGAGAACGCCGCCAAGCTGCTGGAGACCGCCATCCAGACCCTGGACGAGTCCGAGATGGCCGTGTTCCTGCAGGTTAGGCAGCTAGTTGGCAAACTTTAGCTACCATGCTAACAGGGCTACAGCAGAAGGGTGTGTGTGAGACAGCAGTTAGGCTCCGCCCACAATAAAGGTGTATAAACTCAGGTGTTAATGAGCTCTTTAAGGTGATTAACTCTTTGTTCTCTTCTACCACAGAGCAGCAAACCTCTGCTCCAGAAGTGAGTATAATATATATCACTATATTATATATATATATAGTGATATTAGTGATAAAACTAACAATAGTGATATTAGTGACATTAGTGTTGACAGGAAGTGATGTGATGTGGTCGTCAGGATCGTGGAGGGCACCAACACGTCTCACCTGGATAATGTCCAACATGGCTACGAGAAAATGGATCACTTCACAGCTAACGTTGACCGTCAGCGGAGAGCGCTCATGAACATCGACTTCATCAAACGTAAGAAAGTGTCCGTCTGACCGACCAATCACAGACGAGACAGAGTGCATGCTGGGAGGTTAGCAAACAAGACCCAGTAGTAGCATTTAACTACTTAAAGTGGGCATGCTAAAGCGTGCTAATGTGCGTGCTAAAGCATTATTTATTATTATTATCGTTCAATATAAAGATAATAATAATAAATAATGCTAAAGTATTAGCTTTTAGCTAGTGTCTTATATGTTAAGATTCAATATGCTGTGTGCTAATATGTTAGCATGTTGTCTCGTCAGTTGATGAAGACGATGATGATGAAGATGAAGATGAAGATGAAGCGATGGAGGTCAGAGGGACAACAGGAAGTCGAGTTGAGCTCGCTGCGGGGCTCTCAGCCAATCAGAATCCTCCTCTGTCTCCTGCTCAGCCTGCAGGTGTTCAGCTTTCAGCCCCGCCCCCTCAGAGACCCTCCGAGGCTCCGCCCACCACCTCACCGACAAAACCTCCCGCCTCATCAACCAACCAGGCCCCGCCCCCTCTGTCACTCCCCAGTGCAAGCCCCGCCCCTCAGGTATGACATCACAACAGCCTATAAATAATATTATTTTAATAATATTCATTATTTCATATCATATTTAATGTTTAATTAATAATAAGAGTTATAAATATATTTTATATTTGTGAGTGAAATATGAAATATTAGAGATATTAGAACTAGTTTGAGTCGGTTCGTTAGTGAGGAAAACAAAATATAAATAAATTAAACACAATGAATCAGACTAAAATTAATAATTGATAAAAACAATTAAAAGGAGGATTTATATAATTAATTGAATTAAATCTGAATGAATTAAATATAATAAGGACACTATGGAGACGTACAGATAAAATAATTTAAATCAATATTTTTAAATCAAATGTATAATTCAACTTTTTACTTCAACTAATATAAAAATAAAACAATATTTAAAATGATTATTTGAAATGAATATTCAGATATTAAGGAGATATTTGATCCATTATTGTTCTTCTGCAGGTTGATCAGCAGAACGAGTCGGAGGATAAAGACGGACCCAAACATGTCTTCTCCTTCAGCTGGCTCAACCAGAAGTAAACCGTCTAGTAAAGGAGGGAAGGCGACGTCGGAACTGTTAAACATGTTTTCTGTTCAAATGTCAAATAAATTATTGTTTTATTATGAAACTGATTTTCTTCTGTTGGCTCCACCCAAAAAAACTCCACCAGACTTCAATAAACAGCCAGAACATTTGTAAGAGTGCCTTTAATAATGAGTTCATAATGATTAGTAATACCAGTGTCTTTAATATTGATCCTACATTGATATCAGGATGCAGCCCCGCCCCCTTGCAGAGGTCAGATCAAGTACGGTGGCCCGGCTGCTGGGCGGAGTCAGTCAGCAGGCAGCACTTTCTTATTGGAAATATCAAATGTTAAAAAGGTGGCAACACAAACAGCCTCTGACCAATCAGAGCTCCCCTTACTGTAAGAGTAATAGATTAAATGTGACACTTGTAACTTTAACAACAACAACAACAACAACAATAATAATGTTATGATAGAGTGATTGATTAACGACTGCAGCTCGTTAATGTTCACATGATAACACAGGTAGGAACTGTGCTGCCCCCTGCTGGTCGGGAGGATCAATAACTGCATCCATTGATCACTGAATCATATATCTGTGGCAATCAATGAGTCCTTCTTCAGCCTGTAAGTGGGAGGAGTCAGTATGTAAGTGGGAGGGGTCTGTTCACAAGAGCGACTGCAGGACAGGAAGTGGACAGGAACAGGAAGTGCAGTATTTATTTCCCGAAGGCGTCCATCATCCTGCGGTTGCTGTCGGCCTGCTGGGCGATCTGCTCCGCCCGCGCCATCTCCAGCACCTCCCTGAGGAGGTGAAAGGTCAGATCCAGAGAGATGGGAGGCTCGTCGGACCTCTTCCCCTTCTCCTCCTCGTCCTCCTGCTGCTCCGCCCGAGCCTGCAGGAGGCGCTGTGTGAGCTGCAGCAGGGCCCGGTTCACTGCCGAGGACGACGACGAAGAGGAGGAGGAGGAGGAGGAGGAGGAGGAGGAGGAGGTGACTGAGGCCCA